AAAAAATGTACAGAAGTGTAGTACGAGCACACCACGCCGGTGCCCAGTAAGTATCAAGACTAACCTCGGTGGGGTAGTGACGAGGAATAGTCAAGAAACCTACTGCTCAATTAAAATTAATAGGATATGATAATAAACATCAAGATAAAGATAACGAGGTAATATCAAATGTGGAGAGAAAATCCAAGTACAAACAGTATAAACAATAAAGGGAGAACACAGATAGTAACAAACGGAGATCACGTAATTCAGATAACCCAAACAATTCAACACTGATATAACAGAGACAGAGGCAAGTAAAAATGTATCCAACTAAAGAAAACAATGTCAACTCAATCAATCACATCACGTTTAATACACCATCCCGACCATTTCAAACCTCGATTTACATATCATAATCTCAACTTTCGAACTTTCAGCACATATAGCACCTCGTGCCCACATATTTTTCCATCTCACGCTTAACAACAAAATTCCCATGCTATACAATATCGAATGTCCTTAAAATTCACTTAAGATGTTCAAGAAGTCCTATTTACATAATATAAATTAAATCTGAATTTCTAAATAAGTTTGGAAAATCGACGAGAAAAGATAAAGTTATATTTAGAAATCATTCGAGTAAGAAAATACCTATTTAAATTTAAAATACAACATCGGAAGAATTATTACCTTTAACAGGGGAATTGATAACTTAAAACTTAGTAGAAATTTCTTTTTAATTAAAGTACAACCTTAGACGGTTTAAGGGGATATAATATTGAGAAACTAATTGAATTAAGGATGTACCAATTATTGAAGTTTGAAGCGTTGGAATGTGTGTATATATATATATATATATATATATATATACACGGTGAGGTACTGAAAACATTGTGGGTTCTAAGGATCACAACAATAGAGGAGGAATTAAGCAGTTTAAACATTTGAATTGATAACAACAACTAAACATAGCAAACCGAAGGTGCACGGCACCAAAAATCCAATATAACAAGGATAAGAAAACCAAACACAGAATTTCACTTTCATTTTATTTATCTCGTGGCAGGCGTGCCACCCGCTCCCATTTCACTTATCTTGTGGTAGGCGTACCACCCGCTCCCATCTCATATATCTTGTGGTAGGCGTACCACCCGCTCCCACTTTATTATATCTTGTGGTAGGCGTACCACCCGCTCCCATTTCATTATATCTTATCATCAATTATAAAAGAATCCCGGCAAGGGAATAATAAGGAAACAACAATATCCCGGTAAAGAAATAATAAGGAAACAACAATATCCCGGCAAGGGAGTCAACAACCAGAATTAAATATGTCCCGACAAGGGAATCAGCTATAACTAAACTTGTGCCAACAATTAACTTCACAATGAATCCTCAACTACATGACAATATGTAATAAGCACGTGATATCTACGTCGGCAACCACAACAATTGGACATCTAACCTATTTGCTCAAAGTCATAGAGGAACTCACAACTAGGAAGTATCAAAACAATAAGGAAGGCAATCACTTCAATTAAGGCAATTTAGGGTCAATGTATCACGTAACAATTAGAGGAAAGCTAACAACGTCATATGGAGCATATAGAGGCAATTCAAGCAACTAGGAAACCCAATCATAACAGGATACTTTCCACATAAGGACCTAAGAACCCTAGAGGCAAATTTCCCATAAATAAATCCGAGCACACACTCGTCACCTCGCATGCACGGACTACAATTATCATAGAAGACCCAATTCCTAAGGGGAAGTCCCCAACACAAGGTTAGGCAAGATACTTACCTCAAGGGCGACAACCGATACTATAAAAAGCACTTCTCGGGTGAAAAGACCTCCGGACGGCTCAAATCTAACCAAATTAACTTCAAAGTACAAATAAACACATAAGAAACTATTCTGGATCGTAAAGTTTCAAACTTTACAAAAATATAAAATTCGACCCAAAAGTCGACCCCCGGGACCGCACCTCGAAACCCGTCAAATTTTACGAAATCCAATCACCCATTCCAAAATGAGTTCAACCATATAAAATTTATCCAATTCTGACACCATTTGGTCCCTCAAATCATGATTTTTACTTTTAGAAATTTTCTTCAAAAACCAACACTTTACTCAACCCAAATCATAAATTAAATGATAAAAATAAAGACAAATTCATGGAATATAATCAATTCTAGGTGAAGAACACTTACCCAATCGTTTTGCTTGAAAAACCCACAAAGAATCGCTCAAAACCGAGCTCTAGAACTGCAAAAAATGTTTAAAATGGCCTAACCCTCAATTTGGAAAACTTATATTCTGCTCAGATATTTAAAGCATCGCGAACGCGGAGGAAGTCTCGCGTTCGCACGCGAAATCACGCACGCAAACGCGAAGAAGGAAAATATTATGGCCCAGAGATTGCTCTTCGCGAACGTGTGAAATAGTATGCATAGCTATGCGAACGCGAAGAGTGGAATTGCATAGCTACGCGAACGCGTGATGAGGGATGCGAACACGATGAGGAATAATGCAGAGCTTCGCAAACATGAGGAGTGTTACGCGAACGCGAAGAAGAATTTCCAGGTGGTCAGCAACAAAGCTTCGCGAACGCGAAAGGCCTTTTGCGAACGCGAAAGAGGATACTAGAAGCAGAAAACAGCAGTTCAAAATCGGAGAAAAATGACCCGTAGCCCTTCCGAAAGACACCCGAGGCTCCCGGAACCCTGTCTAATCACACAAACAAGTCATATAACCTAACATGGACTCGCTCGAGGTTTCACATCACATAAAACAACACCAAAGCAACGAATCAAACCAAAGATCAAACTTATGAATTTTCAAATCTTCAAATATCAAATCTCATGCCGAAACTCAATTCAACTCGGAATCACGCCAAATTTTGCAGATAAGTCCAAAATGACATAACGGAGATGCTCCAACTCTCGGAATCGCATTCCGACCTTGATATCATGAAAGTCAACTATGGGTCAAACTTCTCCATTTTCCAAACTTCAACTTTTCCAACTTTCGCCGAAATGCCTCAATTTACCCTACGGACCTCCAAATCTGAATCCGGACGCGCGCCTAAGTCCAAAATCACCATACGAAGCTGTTGGGATCACCCATGACCCATTCCGGGACCGTTTACTCAAAAGTCCAATTCTGGGCAAATTTTCACTTTTTAAACTTCTAAAACTAGGTTCCTTCTCCCAATTCAATTCTGATTCATTCGGAAACCGAATCCAACCATGCACACAAGTCGATATACCTAATGCGAAGCTACTCGAGCTCTCAAACTACCGAATCGGGCGTAATTGCTCAAAACAATCAGTCGGATCGTTACACTGTTAGTACATGAGTAATTGATAGTATTCAATTAAAAAGGAACTATATTAAAGAAATGGAAGAAGAAAAGACCTTCGTTCCCAAGACTTTTCATGTTTCGAGAAGTTATCTCTTCCGTGTCTCTTAGTAAATGAAGGAAAAGGGTGGTCTGTCAAACTATATTAGGATACTGACACAGTTGAGAGGAATTAATTAGTCACAAATTAATACAGTAATTTAACATTACATAAAGACTTTACAATTCAAACAAATACTTTCAGAGTATGTATACAGTTAAAATTTTATTTTTCCATATAACATTCTTAATAACTAACACGAGATATACATGTGCAAAGTATTTGTCCAGAAACTAATATCTTACAAAATATTAATCATAATTTATATTGTGCGGACTTTCCAAAATATTGTTGCACGCGTGGTGGATCCTTCAAAAATGCACTACTTTTAAAAATATCAGAGCACAAAGACCATGCTGGTGAGTACGAGAACTATATACAAACTCAGGCTACTCGTGAAGGCAAAGTCTATCACATCAATGGACTTCTCATTTTTTTTATATGGACAAAATAATTACAGAATCACTAGAGCATTGCTCCGCGGTCGTTCAAAAATAGTTTCTACTATAGGACCATTAACATTAAATGCAATAATTAGCCTACGAAAAGTAATTCTCCAAATAGTATGGCTTCATTTGCAAACACATGAGGAACTGCTAAAATTCTACGCCTACCAAAATACTTCTTCTTTGGTCCTTTTGCCAGCAAATCAGCGACCCTCTGCAGACAAGAGATCCTCGCTCTAATGCACAAAATCAGAGAAGATCAGCTCAGCAACAGTCAGCAAAGTATTGGCCAAGTTCAGTTAACACAGTCGATAAATAAACACAGATTCAAGTTCCTAATATGTCTGCCTAAATTGCAAGCATAATTGTCTAGTCTAGCTTGCTCCAGCCGTTATTGCAGTTCCACCAGCTTTCGTCTCTCAGCTATAAAGTTACATATAATTTTCTGCTTCTCCCATGAATTTCAAGAGCATTTGTGAACACCTAATTTTTAACCACACCTAAATTCTATATTATTATAAATATTTCTTTTAGGTCTAAATCTTAATATTTTAAATGTTTATCTTACTCTTAATAGGTTTTATTTAAGAAAATTAAAAACTATTAAAAATATTCATATTCTTAGAATATAAGATTTTTTTTTCCTATGTTTAAATAGAAGAAAATTTATATATATATATATATTTGGTTTCTTTTAATTTAGAAGTAATTTATAGTAGTATTTTTCTTGGTATAATTTAAACTTTAGTGTAAATATTGAGTTTTCTTATTTACATAGTTTCTTTAAGTCTTAAAGTAAGTTGGTATATATATATATATATATATATATATATGTGTGTGTATTTTTTATCTTCTTTTATTTAATTAAAAAAAAGGGTTAGGAAAAGTTAAATAAATATATATAGAGTTAAAAAATAAAAATAAAAAAATAAACAAATAAAACCACCCAACTTCCCCACTTCCCCACTTCACTCATGCCTCACCCCCACTCCCTCATGTCGTGCACACACAACACATGATCTCCATAATTTCCTATTTAACTACCCATTACCTAGATGAATCTATAAATAAAAAATAAAAAAGCACAAAGAACGAAAAAAAAAAAAAAAAAAGGATCTTACAAAAAGCAAAAACGGACAAAGAGCAATAGAGGATCTTCAAAAAAAAAGTTCTATATCTTTTCAACAAAATTGCTCAAGTAGAAAGCTTGGATTTCGAAAAGAGTTTTTAGTTCGAGTTTGTGGTTCCGATTTTCCTTGGGGATTTCGATTCTGATCGTGATTTTTATTTCCATTTATGGTTATCATTTTGCTTGGGATTACAGAGCTGAAGTTGTATGTCAATTATCTGCTATTATTATTCTTAGAGAAGCTTCATTCTACAGGTTTCTTCTAATTATTCTTTTATATATTTTAATATATTCTACTGTGAATATGAATTTTAGCCATGTAAAAGATTTTGTTTTTCTTTGTTTCTGCAGTTTCATTTCTTTAGTTTTGAATGTTTTGAATATTATTTAGGTGCTTAATATGTGATCTCACTCCTACAACGTCGTATGTTCTTTTTTTTTATTTACTCTTCTTCTTTATCCAATTTTGACAATGTAAGCTTTGTACCACGTGAAGCTTGTTAATTATATGTATTTTTACTGTAGGAAAAATTGTTTGTCTTTCTCCTGTAATGTTTGTATTTGGTATTTAATTACTAGTTCGATAATTTTTTTTATTGTTTATGGGATTTTCGGAGGGGCTTTCTTGATAAATTTGTATATCAGATAGGTTATTTTTTTTCTTTGTCTGAAATAGTTCTATTTTTCTCGATTTCTGTGTGTGTATTGTTTATGGAAAATCTTTGGGAGGTTCTTTTTGAATTAAATACTATAAAAAGGGTAAAAAAAAAATGACTGGACAATTTGGGGTGAATGACATTGATGAAAAATCATGAAATGGGATTTGAGGCTGTTAGATAGGAGAGGATTTCGGGATTTATTTTTTGGTGCTTAATATGTGATGATATCTTAGATGTTCTTTCAATATTAGCCTATGTGTTTATATCCGACCCTTGAATTGATATGCCTAAATAATAAAAGAATCATGTGCGCATTCCGCGTTTCGATGCGTTTAGATTTGAAATAATTATGTTATAACCATGTGTACATTTCGTATCTTGGTTTAACATTTAATTTCAAAAAACTACCTTGTGTGCGTTCTGCATCTTGGTGAACACAATTAATAAATATAATAATTAATTAAGCGGTAATAAATAAGTCATAATCAATAAAATACAAGAATAGCTAAGAATTGATTTAAGCCGAACATTAGTCAATAAAAGCGACCGTGCTAGAACTACGGGACTCGAGGGGTGCCTTACACCTTCCTCTTGGTCAACAGAATTCCTTACTCAGTCTTCTGTTTTCGTAGACCATAAATAAGAGTCAAGCCTTCCTTTTGAAAGGGATTTGAATAAAAGGTGACTTGGAACACCAAAACTCAATTCCAAGTGACGACTCTAAATAATAAATAATCCCTTTTTAAAACGTCACTTCAATTGGAAAAACTATTCTAACTCAACCTCGTAATAGGGTTGTGTGGGAAAAAAGAGGTGTGACAAGCGTCTTCTTTGATACTTCCTGATAGCTCGCAGCTGACTGCTGCATGCAATTTGGCAGCTTCCATTTCCCCCCTCAGTACAGCATCCTCAAGTTCAAGCCTACGAACAGCAGCATTAGCTCGCTCTACACAAGTCATTCTCCATCTCAGCCAGCTTTTTCATGGTATTTTCTTCCACTTCCTCTTTTTCTTTCCCTATTGTCTTAAGCTTATTGTGTCTTTACTCGGTCTACAAGCGCCTTGCAAAATTAACCTTTTGATTGGCACATTCTATCCACCATTGGAGCTTGCAATTCCCGAACCATTGGAACTAACTTTAAAATCATTTCATCTTTCTTATCTTGAGGAGACATTGAGCAATAGATTTATCATTCGGGATCAATCATATTGAGGAGATGTTGCATTTGGTAGGGAATGAGCGCGAGAGCTCAGTATCAGTATAGGAGGCAATGCAAGTGAAAGCCATGGCCACAACAAGTAGTAGAAGAGACATTGGAAGTCTCGGACGAACAATGTGCACAAGCAGATTACCATTCGTAAAGACGAACAATGTGACCTCAAAAAGATCATATCTTACCTTGAAACACTAGCCATAGAATATATAAACAAGTCTATTGCAGTAAAGTTCATTTTCAACAAAAAAAATCCAAATTCTGCGCTTTCGTATGCTTGTGATAATGACACAGGCAACATAAACCAGCCCTTGGACACGTAATAAATCTTGCAATACTATTTAGCAAAATAATTTTCAAACTTAAATTTTCATAGTATAAAAAACATGATCAGGATTCAACAATATAAATAGAAATCAAAAAGCATTTCTAGCAACATCTCTTCACATAATAAACCCACTGTTACTTAGACATGAAGAGCTATTAATAACTCCTTGGATACTGACAAGTACAATATTAACCTTGTCTATCAGCTACACAGCAGTTTCAAACATAAACTAACATTTGCTAAGTATGTAGCAATCAATACAAACCAGGGAAGACAAAAATTATCGATGAGAAAAGACAACTGAAGCGAGAGGAGAGGATATTGGAAAGCTTAGGAACTCCTGTTCCATTTCAACATAATAACAAGACAAATCACTCCCCATGAATCCGGCAGCAATGACAAATTTTCTAGCGTTGTTGCACTTTTGAACAAATATTTTACCAATGGCATCACAAACTTAATTTCACTTAATGGTCCAAGAAAGTTAACGAACTTTATGGTCTTCAAATGTGGCAATGAGCAATTAAAATTATGCGCCTCAAACCTCGTGAGGTGTTTACTGATCATCGTAGCCTCGAGCACTTGTTCAAACAGAAGGATCTCGCAGTGAAGGTGGTTGGAGCTGCTAAAGGATTATGATATTATTATCTTGTACCATCCGGGGAAGGCCAATGTAGTGGTCGATGCCTTGAGTAGGAAGGCGGTGAGTATGAGCAGTTTGGCATATATTCCTGTTGGGGAGAAACCTCTTGCGGTTGATGTTCAGGCTTTGGCCAATTGGTTTGTGAGGTTGGATATTTCGAAGCCCAGTCGGATCCTAGCTTGTGTGGTTTCTCGGTCTTCCTTGTTTGATCGTATCATAGAGCGCTAGTATGATGATCCTCATTTGCTTGTCCTCAAGGACATAGTTCAGCACGACGATGTCAGAGATGTGATTATGGGTGATAACGGGGTATTGAGGATGCATTGCCGGATATGTGTGCCCAATGTAGATAGGCTTCGGGAGTTGATTCTGGAGGAGGCCCATAGCTCGTGGTATTCCATCCATCCGGGTGCCGCGAAGATGTATTAGGATTTGAGACAGCACTATTGGTGGAGGAGAATGAAGAAAGATATAGTGGGGTTGGTGGCTCAGTGCCTCAATTGTCACTAGGTGAAATATGAGCATCAGAGACCAGGTGCTTGCTAGCAGATGGATATTCCGGAGTGAAAGTGGGAGCGGATCACCATGGATTTCTTAGTTGGATTCCCACAGACCTTGAGGAAGTTCGATGCTATTTGGGTGATTGTGGATCTGCTGACCAAGTCCGCATTCCTGTGTCTACTACCTATTCTTCAGAGCGGTTAGCTGAGATTTATATCCGAGAGATTATTTGCCTACATGGTGTCCTAGTTTCTATCATTTCAGATAGACGTACTCAGTTTAGATCACAGCATTGGAGGGCCGTGCAACGGGAGTTGGGTACTCAGGTTGAGTTGAGCACAACTTTTCACCCTCAGATGGACAGACAGTCCGAGCAAACTATTCAGATGTTGGATGACATGTTGCGAGCTTGCACAATTGATTTTGCGGGTTCATGGGACCAGTTTCTACCGCTCGCAGAGGTTGCATATAACAACAGTTATCAGTCAAGTATTTAGATGGCTCCATATGAGGCTTTATATGGGAGACGGTGTAGATCTCCAGTAGGTTGGTTTGAGCCGGGCAAAGCTAGGTTGTTGGGTACAGACTTGGTACATGATGCTTTGGACAAGGTGAAAGCAACTCAGGAGCGGCTTCGTACATCTCAGTCGAGACAAAAGAGTTATGCTGATAGAAAGGTTCGTGATATATCTTAGATGGTTGGGGAGAAGGTTCTACTAAAGGTTTCAACCATGGAGGGTGTTATGAGATTTGGGAAGAAGGGATAATTGAGCCTTTGGTTCATTGGGACTTTTGAGGTGCTTCGAAGGATTGGGGAGGTGTCTTGTAAGCTTGCTTTGCCACCTAGCTTGTCGGTTGTGCATCCGGTATTTCATGTTTCTATGCTCCGGAAGTATATCCACGATCCATCTCATGTTTTGAATTTCAGCACGGTTCAGTTAGATAGTAATTTGACTTATGATGTGGAGCCAGTGGCTATTTTGGAACGACAGGTCCGAAAATTGAGATAAAAGGATATAGCTTCTGTGAACGTGCAGTGGAAAGGTCCGCCCGTGGAGGAGGCTACTTGGGAGACCGAGCGGGAGATGCAGAGAAGATATCCACACCTGTTTGAGGCTTCAGGTATGTTTTTAGACACGTTCGAGGACGAACGTTTGTTTAAGAGGCGGAGGATGTAACGACCCGGCCGGTCGTTTCATGAGTTATAGCCCCGTTTCCTCCATTTCTACTTCTTTGTGTGTTCCTCAGCTATATTTCATCGTATCGTGTTGGTTGGTTCGAGTCCAAAGTAGTTTCGGTGTGGAATGATACACTTAGTCACCTATTTAGAAGTTTAAGTTGGAAAAGTCAACCGAATATTGACTTATGTGTAAATGATCTCGGATATGAATTATGATGGTTTGGTTAGCTCCGTTATGTAATTTTGGACTTGGAAGCGCATCTAGAATGTGATTTGGAGGTCCGTGATAGAATTAGGCTTGAATTGGCGAAATTGAAAATTTGGCGATTCTCGATCGGCAGTAGAAATTTTGATATCGGGGTCAGAATGAAATTCCAAAAATTAGAGTAGGTCCATAGTGTGATTTGTGATGTGTGTATTAAATTTCAGGTCATTCGGAGGTGATTTGATAGGTTTCGGCATCGTTTGCAGAATTCGGAAGCTTAGAAGTTCTTAGGCTTGGATCCGAGGGTGATTTGGTGTTTTGATGTTGTTTTGAGTGTTCCAAAGATTCAACTAAGTTTGTATGTTGATATATGACTTGTTGGTATTTTCGGTTGAGGTCCCGAGGGCCTCAGGATGAATTCGGATGGTTAACGGAGGATTCAAAAAAGGAATTGTGCAGCTAAAGCTGCTACTACTGATGTTTCCGCACCTGCAGATTGTGGACCGCATGTGCGAGGTCGCAGATGTGGTAGGGATGCTGCAGATGCGGAATTGGAGGGCTAAGAGAAGAGCCACAGATGCGGTGAGTTTGACGCATCTGCGGGCCCGCAGGTGCGGTGCCTGGGGCGCAGATGCGGTCTTGGAATTTTAAGTGAAAATCGCAGGTACGGTTGTTTGGACTGCAGAAGCAGTTGCGCAGGTGCGAGAAAAGGGTCGAAGGTGCGGAAATGCCTGGGCAGAAGGTATAAATTGGACCCTTCGCGAAATTTGAGTTATTTCCATCATTTGTATTCGGTCTTGGAGCTTTTTGGAGGGTTTTGAAGAGGGAATCAAGGGGGTTTACATTGAGGTAAGTTACTTGAGCTTAACACTTGTGATTATGGTAATTTTCAGGTTTTTAAGCATGAAATTAGTAGAAATTAGGGATGAAATTGAGGGGATTATGGCTTGAAATTGGAGAGTTTGATTTGGGGATTTGAGGGACCATTTGATGTCGGATTTGAATGAATTTGGTATGTATAGACTAGTGAGTGAAAGGAATTTCTAGTTTTGTGATTTTTGTCCGTTTTTGAGACGTGTGTCCGGGGGCCGGATTTGGGTGAATTTCAGAATTTTGGTATAAATTGATAGTTTTTCGTAAGGAATTGGTTCTTTGGCCTATATTGATTACATTGTATTTCTTTTGATTAGATTCGAGACGTTTGGAGGTCGGTTCCAGAGGCAAGGGCGTCGCGGAGTAGAGATTTGACCGGTTTGAGGTAAGTAATGATTATAAATCTTGTCCTGAGGGTATGAAACCCCGAATTTTACATTGTTTCACTATTTGAGGTGACACACATGCTAGGTGACGAGCGTGTGGATGTGCACCATTGGGGATTGTGACTTGCTTCATCTCGTAGCAACTATAAAGTTGCATATTTGACTGAAAACTATATGACACTTATGTGTTTTAGAAAGAACTACTATAAAATGGGTTGAATCCATATTTGGGCCTTCTACCAAAGCTGTTTGGACCCTTAGGAGCCTCTCACTGTTTTGATTTAAGATCTATACTCAGTCATACTATGTTTACTGATTTTATAACTCAGTCTTTATTACTCCGTTTTGATGCATAAAATGATATTTTGGGTTGAGCACCCTGTTTTACTGATAGCCCGAGTAGATTGATAGGTTTCTGACTGAGTGAGGACGAGGGCCAGTGTTGTGAGGATATTATGGGATAGGGCTGCGCGCCGCAGTATGATGTCACTGATTTATGATTATGAGAGGCCGAGAGCCTGATTGATTTATGCCACGAGGTGGCTTGTTATAGCGCTTGGGCTGCAGGAGCCCCTACGGAGTCTGCACACCCCCACCAAGCATGGGTACCCTGAGTGAGTGATATGATGTTTTGCTCGAGGGGTTATTTACGAGTGACTGTGTGGTTTGCCCGAGGGGCTGATTCTGAGTGATGTTATGCCCGAGGGACGGTTTATGATTCATGTTGCCCGAGGGGCTGTATACGAACGATGTTTGCCCGAAGGGCTGTTTATGCTTTTCATCACTTTTACTCTAAATTGCATTGAGCCTCTATTGAAGCTGTTGAAAAACATCTTCAAATGATTTTTATCGAAAACTGGATTTTTACGAGATGATTTGACTCATATACTGATTTGAAAGCATGTTGTACTTACTGAGATTTCATGATATGGATTTCTACTGCTCAGTCTCTATTTACCTTTATTACTTACTGAGTTGACGTATTCACATTACTCCCTGCACCTTGTGTGCAGATCCAGGTGTTGCTGGACGTGCTAGCGAGCGTTGATTTTCATCCGTCACGGATATATTGGAGTTGGCAAGGTGTGCATGGCAATCGCAGCCTTGCTCTTCTCCCTCCTATCTTCCTATAGATATTATTAGTAGATTTCCAGACTGTATTAGACTTAGCATTTCGAACAGTTTTTTGTAGAAGCTCATGACTTGTGACACCCCGATGTTGGGCTTTTTTTTCCGCACTTTGTTATTCAAACTTATCTTATGAAGTTTTATTAATTTATAGCTTAAAGACAACTTCATTTTGGGATTATCGGGTTATTTTGGTAAAAGAGTCGGCATACCAAGTTTCACGTTAGACGACATCGCGACATGGTAGGTTTGGGTCGTGACACCATTGGTACACAAGTGACCTCAAACAGGTCATATCTTGCCTTAAAATACAAGTCATAGACTATATAAACAAGTCTATTGCAGTAATAAGCTCATTTTCAACAAAAAAATTCCAAAGTTCTGCCCTTCCATATGCTTGTGATAATAACAAAGGCCAACATAAACAAGCCCTCGGACACGTAATAAATATTGCAATACTATATTCGCAAAATAATTTTCATAGCATTAAAAACATGATCGGGATTCAAGAATATGAATAGAAATAACAAAGCATTTCGAGCAACATCTCATGACATAATAAACACACTGTTACTTAGACATGAATAGCTATTAATAACTCCTTGGCTACTGACAAGAACAATATTAACCTTGTCTATGAGTTACACAGCAGTTTCAAACATAAACTAACATTTGCTATGTATGTAGCAATCAATACAACCCAGAGAAGACAAAAATTATCGATGAGAAAAGACAACTGAAGCACGAGGAGAGGATATTGGAAAGCTTAGGATCTCCTGTTCCAATTCAACATAATAACAAGACAGAGACTCCCCATGAATCCGGCAGCAATGACAAATTTTTCTAGAAGGTTAGTTCGATCACTTGCTAAACATTTTTTTACTACTACAAAAAAGTTGACTGCAGAATTGGCATACGCATGAAAGAATTGTGACAGTGACAACATGAAATTTCAATCAAAGCAACTCAAGTTGAACTATTTTCTAGATGAAAATAAATTGAGAGAACAAAAAAGTTCCAATGAACTACTTACACAAAAAAGCAACAATAAGCACACTGCTGCAGCAAATTTAGCAAAGAGAAAACGCCCGAGACTAAAAAGCAGATACTGAATTCCTTGTAAAGCAGCATGCAGATGAAAATTCAAAATTGGACTACACATTCCCCAATCCCTAGAGGAACTTCTGTGAACATTTGGAGAAAAACACTCCTCGATGGACAAGCACTATAATAAAATGCTGCAAACTTGATCTAGGATAAGTAAAACTAAACACGAATGGCAGTTGCAGACACGGACAATGTGGACCAGGTCGCATAGTGGGGAACTCTATTGGTGATATTATTTAGGGCATATGCAGTCCCACTAGGCCATGGAATAAACAAAATGGCTGAAGCGTTTGCACTTTCCTGTGAGCTTAAATGGCATCTTGAACGTTATATTAGAAACATTTGGGAGGAAGCCGACTCTTTACTTATTATGAATGCTGCCACGGGAGTTGCAAAACCTTCACTATATTATTGACTAGATTAGAAAATTGAATCAAGGTGAGACACCTGGTTGCGGAGAAGCTTATGTTGTAGCTGATTTTTCAGCTGGATACAGTCACTTGCTGGACAAAAAGAAGGAAATTTTCAGCTTTAAGTCACTATCAAGAGAAGCTCGAAGGCACTTAAGGGTTGACAACTGGCAGCTCCATTCTGCTTAAGATTCCTACAGAAAGCCCAACACTTACCTCCAATAATGCAACAAAATGTATTTCCTGGTTAAGCCCTTTTGTGGCCTCAAACGATACTTGAGAACACACTTTCCACTTTCCTTTTTTTAGGTTCTTATGGAATCAATGTACAAGGAAGCAAGTCTCCACAGTTCAGAGGCAATTATCTGCTGTAAGCGTATCCCTTCGCAGAACCCCGAAATTTGCAAATGATGAAAACATGGGGCTAATATTTCTAGCATCCCATATCTGTAGTATTCAATGGTCAGTTTTCTCAGCTTCACAGAGCTGATTTCCAAATGATTAATGCCCCAAACATTATTTAGTTCCAAGCACTCCAAGTTAGGGCAACCAGATAATACTTTTCGCGCTACACCCTCCTTCAATTTCTGGTTCCTAATTGAAAGCAAAACGAGATTACTCCAGTTCACACTACCAGAAGGTTTCAGTTTGCAGCCGCTTAAAACCAAATTCCTCAGTGATGTACTCGTATATGCAAACTGAGGTAACTCATAGAAAAATTTACCTTTAAAATCAATAAGTGAAAAATCTTCAACTTTAGCAACTTTAATTGCAAAATGTACCCATAAATCAGCATCTTTAGCATAACTCATGTTTTTATTATAGAGAGAGGCCCTGCATTTTCGAATTTTCTCGAAAGATCTCCAATAATGAAGCTCTCTGTTGACTTCATCGAAATGGTTCAAATGGAGTGATATTGGGACGGACTTCCAAAGAAACCTCCATCGTTTAGATAATACGCTGCTTCTCACAATTACTTTATTGTCACGCTCCGGCAACATAGAGAGGATGTGAGGCGTCGGGCAAATCACTCAGTCTGTCTCCTTCTCCACTCGCCATGATTTTTCAGTTGCAGTCTATCTGGTAAAGTAAATTTAAATTTAAAATATTTTTATAAGCGAAGTTCTCATCGTTTCTCTCAAAACATGAAGAATTTAAGAAGATGGTAATAAATAACATATGCGTGTTTGGGTCTCTTCAGTTTCCTATCATTATTATGCTCTTCAAAACCGATGAAGTCTTAACAAAATTTAAAATTGTGGGTAAATGAAGAGACTGTTGCTATAATATTCATGTTCTTTAATTGTTTTGTAAAGTTATGATTTTTTTTTTTCATTTATACTTTGATTTTCAAGTATTACTCTTGTAATTTTTGTTTCTTGCCTTTTTCTATTTTTTTTAATCCGGATCTATTAAATAAACTTGCAAATTGTTCTTGGTAATTTAATTAATTAATCTTTTACAGTGTGAATAATACATCTTTATTTTTGGTTTCTATTATTATTTTGAGAATCTAAACATAATACTTGAAGTGATAATTAAGTTGTAAAAGTCGCTTCTAATATCCAGGAAATCCAAAGGTGTAAGCTCTTGGTGCTCAAAGTATTCCGCGTTCACATAAGACGACCAGAAAGGACGGCACCTCAGTAGGTGTGATGTAGACGGTCTACCCTGATACAAGTATCAATGGTTGGTTCCACTAGAAGCAGACCCAGAATTTGAAGGTCGTGGCTACACTTTCAGATTCAACTATAATTTGCTTGGTATATAAGGGTGTCCAGTACCAATATATCACTATTTTCTAAAGACATATACATGTATTTTGCCGAACTTTACGGGTGCCAATGACCCGTTTCGATATAGCATAGGTCCGCCACTGGATTGCTCGACTCGAACCCGTGACCTACAAGTGACATAGAGATAACTTTATTATTGTTCCAAGGCTCCCTCCAAAAGTGTAAGCTCACGCTCTCAAATTAGTTAAGGATCTTGTTTTCAACCTTTTTTGTTTTCGAGATAGTTTTGCGTATATTGTGTGTGCAACTAAAATTTGTTAGTTTATACTCCTCCATCACATTTTATGTGTAAATAAGCAAGTTTTAAATCGTGTCTTAAGGTAAAGAAGTGTATAATGTATAAACATGTTATTGAATCTTGTGATCTTAAATATATTATGTAGAATATTAAAACTAAGGAGTTACTAAATATAAAAAGGTGACATTCTTATTGAAACAAACTAAAAAAGAAAGTAAGTAAAGTAGAAGAAATATATAAATTTGTAATAGCTGATATCTAATATAGGTGCAACGCAGGTGTCCGAATACTAATGTATACTTTTTCTTTAATTCTTCTTTATTTCTTGTAGAATTTTATTATTTTGTCTTAGGAACATTTACAAACTTTGCCGTTTATCAGTCTTAGGTAACTCTTGTTCAATTAAAAAGGAACCATATTAAAGAAATGGAAGAAGAAAAGACCTTTGTTTCCAAGACTTTCCATTTTTCAAGAACGATTCCTTTTCAAGAAGTTTCATCTTCGGTGTTTCTTGGTAAATAAAGGAAAAAGGTGGTCTCTCAAACTATATTGGGATATCGAGACAGTCAAGTGGAATTAATTGGTCACAATTTAATATAGTAATTTAACATTACATAAAGACTTTACAACTCAAAACAAATACTTTTAAACATGCTTTATGGAATACAAACAAGACAGTTTAAGCAAATAGGCAAGTAAATCAACTAAACATGCTTCTCTAAACTAACACAGGTTAAACTTGCAATTAGAATAAACAAATAAGCGAGAACTCAATTTAAATACTTCAAGTAAAAACGGATTTTCAATAATTAGCTCAAGTACGCGCTCGTCACCTCACGTACGAGGCATTCAAATATCAAATATTATGTCCTAAGGGGAAAGGTCCCCCACACAAGGTTAGACAAGCCACTTACCTCGAACCGGCACAAAATCAACTAGAAACCACGCCTTTGCCATGAGTATCCGACTCCAAATGGCCCAAATCTATTCAATTCAATTACATATCGTAAATAACATCGCAAGCAACTGATTCTACTATTTAATTCAAAGCTAAGGCGCGAAATTAGGTAAAATGAACAAAACGCCCCTCAGGACAACGTCTCGTAATCGAATAATTTTCACATTTTCAGAACCCTCGTACTCTCACGAGTCCAACCATATAAAAATCTCCCAAATCGCAGGTCAAACACCCACTCAAAACTCAATAGTTTGGTCTATGAAGTTTTTCCCATTTTTCATTCAAAAATTCGAAATTAAGGATGAATTCATGATTAGATTAGTGGGTTTTAAGCTTAAGAGAGTAGAGAATCATTACCCAGTAGTTGCCCTCGAAAAACCTTCGAATTTTCTCCCAAATTCGAGCTCCCAAGCTTGTATTTTGATAAAAATGGCTAACCCTCATTTTTGAATGATTTAATACTGTCCAGACATTTAATGCATCGCGAACGCGGAGATGAGCTCGCGTTCACGGAGAAGATAAATAGAAGATGTCAAAAATGCCCTTCGCGATCGCGAGGGGTAGAACGCGAACGCGAAGGCCTGGGATCACGAGGCTAGGCGAACGCGGCGTCTTGAACGTGAACGCGATGAAGGAAAATGTTGAGGTCCAGAAGCTGCTCTATGCGAACGCGTGGAAGCGTTCGCGAACGCGATGAATGAACTGGCATAGGTACGCGAACGCGTGGATGCTTAAACGCGATGTGGAAGTAAGCGGGGCTTCGCGAACGCGGATGGGGTTATGCGAACGCGTAGAAAGAAATGGCCCCCCTCCAAGATTACACTACGCGAACGCGAGAGAGGGTCCGCGATCGCGAAGAGGAAAAGTCTGCAACAGCTGAGTTCAATTTTCTGCAATTTTTAACAACACAAAAATGCCCCGTTGAGCATCCGAAACACACCCGAGGCCCCCGGGACCTCAACCAGCCTACGAACACATCCCATAACATCATTCAAACTTGCACCAATCCTTAAACCACCTAAAACAACGCCGAAAACTCGAATTAATCAAGGATTTGAGCTTAAGAACTTTAAATTTCATCAAAACACGCTTTCGATCAAAAACCTAAACAAAACACGTCTGATTGACCTGAAATTTTGCACACACATCCCAAACGACATGACGGAGCTACTGCAACTTCCGAAATTCCATTCCGACCCTCGGATTAAAAACTCACTATCGGACTGGAAACTTCAAAAATTCAAACTTCGGCATTTCAAGCCTAAATGAGCTACGGACTTCCAAAATGCATTACGAGCACGCTCCCAATCCCGAACTCACCTAACGGAGCTAACGGAACCATCGGATTTCCCTTCCGAGATCGTCTTCACACTGTTCCGACTACGAACCACTTTCCAACACTTAAGCTCTCATTTAGGGACTAAGTGTCCCAAAACTCTCCGAAACCCAACACCGAACGTCCCGGCAAACCAAAATAGCAGAAATGAACTTAGGGGAAGCAGTTAATAGGGGATTGGGGCGTAAATTCTTAAGACGACCGTCCGGGTCGTCACATCCTCCTACACTTAAACATTCGTTCGTCCTCGAACGAGCATAGAGAACATACCTGAAGTAGTGAAAAGATGAGGATATCGGCTGCGCATATCCCGCTAGGTCTCCCAAGTCGCCTCCTCAGCCAGCTGACCCTGCCACTGAACCTTTACTGAAGCGATGTTCTTTAATCTCAACTTTCTGACCTGCCTATCCAATATAGCCACTGTCTCCTCAACATAGGATAGATCCTTGTCCAACTAGACTGAACTGAAATCCAACACGTGCGACGGATCACTGTGATACCTCCGGACCATCAAAACATGAAATACCGGATGAACCCCGGCCAAACTGGGAGGTAAGGCAAGCTCATAAGCGACCTCCCCAACTCGCCTCAAAATCTCAAAAGGGCCAATAAACCTCGGACTCAACTTCCCTTTCGTTCCAAACCTCATGACGCCCTTCATAGGCGAAACCCGAAGCAGAACCCGCTTCCGACCATATATGAAACATCACAAACCTTCCGGTCCGCGTAACTCTTCTGTCTGGACTGGGCTATACGGAGTCTATCCTGAATCACCTTGACCTTCTCCAATGCATCCTGAACCAACTCTGTGCCCAATAGCCTGGCCTCACCCGGCTCAAACCAACCCACCGGAGACCTGCATCTCCTACCATATAAAGCCTTATACGGCGCCATCTGAATGCTGGACTGATAACTGTTATTGTAAGCAAACTCCGCCAATGGCAAGAACTGATCCCAAGACCCTCCAAACTCAATCACACACGCACGGAGCATATCCTCAAGAATCTGAATAGTGCGCTCGGACTGTCCGTTCGTCTGGAGGTGAAATGTTGTGCTCAACTCCACTCGAGTACCCAACTCCTGCTGAACAGCTCCCCAGAACCGTGATGTAAACTGAGTACCCCTGTCCGAGATGATAGAAACTGGAATACCGTGCAGACGAACGATCTCTCGGATATATATCTCCGCCAACCGCTCCGAAGAATAAGTAGTACACACAGGGATAAAATAAGCGGGCTTGGTCAGCCGATCCACAATCACTCAAATGGCATCGAACTTCTTCGCAGTTCGAGGGAGACCAACTACAAAATCCATGGTGATCCTCTCCCATTTCCACTCCGGAATCTCTATCTGCTGAAGCAACCCACCTGGTCTCTGGTGCTCATACTTTACCCGCTAACAGTTGAGGCATTTAGCTACCTATCCAACTATATCCTTCTTCATCCGCCTCCACCAATAGTGCTGCCTCAAGTCCTGATACATCT